GGTAAAATGGAAATTCTTTTTCCACTGGCAAAGAACATGAAACATCAAGAAAACATTGTAAAAACATTAAAATACACCAGAGGGAGAACAGTGACTAAAATTTGGAAAGTTTTCTAACAATTTAAAATAATTAATAATCAGATTCATTTAAAACATTTTAAAATGTAAAATTCGCATTGCAAGCTAATTAAAATCACTCATTTTCGTTTGGCATTTTGGTTGAAGATACGTATTGCGTTGATTACAAATGAGTCCCTGTATCTGTTGTGTCGAATACGTGGAACATATAATCTAAAACCTGAGTGACTAAAACTGAAACAATGGTGAAGTGGATGGGTGTCATCTTTCATTATAGTTTCTACTTTTTGTAATATCATTTTATTGTATATGTTTACTATGGGTTCTAATTCCATGCCAATGCATTTTTGAGCTGCTTTTTTGATTTTTTTCAAATTTATTTCTGTTCCTCATTGAGAAACTACCGTACGCACATATTATGCCAAAAACTAGTGTACTCTGTACAACAGTTTGGTAAAATAATTTAAGAATGGTTTTATCCACTCTTAACTTCCCATAATTTCTTACAAAGTACAATTTTTTATTTGTTTTGCTATATACACTATTTGTTTGTGAGTTCCAATTTAGTTTGTTATCTACAATAATTCCAAGATACTTGTATTCCTCTACTATTTCTATATTCTCACTATTTATAGTTACAGTATCATTGATCTGTTTTTCTCTTCAGAAATCAAAAAGCATTTCTTTCGTTTTGTTAAGGTTGATGTTAAGATAATTTTTATTACACCAATTTACAAATTTATTTATTTCTTCTCTATAGCCATCTGTCTCATTAACTACATATCCACTGATCACCATGTCATCTGCGTATTTAATTATTTTCACGTTTTGAGTAGAGCTAATACAGTCACCAGTGTATAGTGAAAAGAGGGCCGGCGATAAGACGCATCCCTGAGGAGTACCCGTGTTAATGACCCGTATGCTAGATTTGATATCCCCTATTTTAACTAATTGAGATCGATCCTCCAGAAAATTTAAAATCCATGATATTAGTTTAGGATTAACATTCATGTTACATAACTTTTTACCCGTCAAGTACGGTTGGATGGTGTTAAAGGCACTAGAGAAATCGACAAAAAGTGACCTAACATAGGTTTTAGGTCTTTCTAGATGGTCTAAAAGTTCGTGCAGGTAGTATGTAACTGCATCTTCTACACCTCTTCCACTCCTATAGGCAAATTGCAGTGGGTCAAATGAAATGTCTTTTTCACTTAAGAGCTTATTCAAAATAATTTTTTCAAAACATTTCATAGTCGTGGATGTCAAGGCCACAGGGCGATAGTCGTTTAGACATGTAATTTTGTTGCTTTTAGGTAAGGGAGTGATGTGAGCAGTCTTCCAAATGGTTGGTATTACACCATTGTCAACAGATGTTTGGAAGAGCCGAGTGAAAATAGGTGCTAGTTGGTGACTACAGATTTTAAGTAGCTTATTACTGACCCCATCTGGCCCCGTGGCCTTATTAACCTTTGCACTAGAGAACAGCTTTTTAACATCATTCTCGTCTACTACAATTTCTTCTCCATTTCTATCATTAATCAATTTTCTTATTTCTAATAATTCGGCTTTAAAATTAAATCTATCAAATCTACAATAGAAGTTGTTAAGCTCATTAGCAAATTCAGTTGATTGTTCAATATTACACTTCTTTATCTTATAACCGGTTATATCTTGCATCGCTTTCCATGATTCTCGTGCGTTTTTCTTTTCAAAATTTTTCTCGACTTTTTCCTTTTGTTTCCTCTTGTATCTTTTAATTTCGTTATCTATTTCTTTTTGTTTTGACTTAACTAATTGATGATCACTGTTCTTGAAAGCATTTCTCCTTTCTTTAAGAAGATATTTTAGTTCTCTCGAAACCCATGCTTTATCATTTGGGAAAAGGCATTTTCCAATAGTTTAAAGGCTGTTCCCCATCCGCAACCCCAACATTATCAACAGCATTAATTAGATCCTGGGTTTGCTCAGAAATTGCACGAGACCCCAGCACTTCCCCTAACCTATCGACCTTAACATTTAATTGGGCGAACTGAGTATTCACCGTCGAATCTAGTTGGGTTAGCTGGGTGCCTATAGATGTCAATCGCAACCCGTGTGACTCAATGTCTAAGAGTTTAGTTTCTAGGGCATCCAAGCGTTCATTCATCTCTTTACCATTCCCAGGATGACAGGATGTTTGCCATGAGGAACTAGGTATGTCGCTCTGGTTGGTGACACTCGGACGATGTGGATCAGAGAACCTGGTCTCATCACTCCCCTTCTTACACCGCCTAACCTCAGTGTATGGCTCCCCATCTTCCCCCCTCTCCCCAGAAATGGCAGAATGCCACAGTACCCCGGCTCTTTTTGGAGGGACAGAGGAGTACGTAGACCCCTCAGTACTAGTACTGTCCTCGCCTAACTGGTGGGAAGGAAAACCTTTGGAATGGTCCCAATATTTTGGTAAGCAACCCACAAAGTCATCCTCATCTCTCACATTGGGGAAAGATGGAGTGAGATAAGGCGACATGGAAGGTTCGGGATGTTTCTCCGCACCCCCCTTAGTCTTACCTAAACACATAGAAGGATAACCCTTGGGAACACCACTGCAAATCGAGGAGGAGTTTCTTAGGGACTCGTCACTAATATTAACATTAGTTCCCTTACTCTTCCCCCTATTCTCTGAGTATCGAGGTCCAGATTTACTACCCCCACCATACTTGGTCTTGCGTCTGGCGCTTAAAGATGCGCCGAACGGTGACACCCCACTTGATTGTCTGGAATGACCACCCGACGAAAATTCAGTTTTATGTTTACGGACTGACTTCCTTAAGTGTCTATCCCTTTGACCCTCGGCTTCCTTATAGGTGGATAAAGCTTGGGAAACAGTTAGATACCCTAGGTATAGAACTAGTTCCCCCAACTTCACTTCCCTACAACCAAGACAAAACCTAAGCACAGCATGATCCTCTTTCCAACTTTCCGGAAGGGACATATGCTTTATAGGCAAGGGTTTGCACTCTATCTGCCCAGTCTTTAATAGCTGCCAATAAACTTATCACCTAACACGTTGCTTACAATGAAAGCATCACAGATAACAGCCACAGAAGGACCGTTCAACCGGAATGATCTGTTGAGAAATCAGTGGAGACGTGTACAGCACTTATCAAACCTCGCTGCAGTTGGCCTTTGGGTAGAATTTTACAGGTTGAACCAAGTGCTGATGGAAGAGTTCGAAAAGTGTCCGTAGAGATTGCAGATGCTAAGACGGTATTGCGTCCAATTTCTGAACTTATACTATTGGTACCCGCTAAGAAGATCTAATCACCTCATATGAACTTTTTTGATTGTTCTGATAGTTAAAATTACACTGTACTGCATATTGTATTGTACATTAATTAATTTGGTGTTGTAAACCTTTTAAACTTACTGCAAATTGAATTTTGATGATGTCGTCCATCAGGGTGGGGGAGTGTGCGGTTTACACCTGGGTATAATTTTTTGAATTGCGCCCTCTCTCGGGGTAGTGGTTTTTTTATGGTTTCCCTAACGACGAGCTATTGATCATTTTCGTCAGTTAAATTAACGATATTGTGGATTTGACGCCGGATGGGAATTACCAAGTTTGATTTAATAATTTTGAGATACCAGATAATTATAAATCTTGAAGACATTGCACTGCTGATTATTTTTGGAGAGCAACTGAGTTCACGGTAAGGATCTTTGGAAAGACATATTAAAGACCAAAGAATACCAGTGAAACCTTGTTCGTAATTTTTTTGAAGTCTAGTAGTGCATAGTTTACTCAAGGTGTATACTGGCATTGCTGTCTCGATTGATAAACATCTTGTTAGTCTTGTTCGATTTGTCAGCTGCGTTTGACACGGTTGACCATAAGATCCTTATTAATCGTCTGATCGGATCCACACTTACTAACACTGGGGGTTCCACAAGGTTCGGTAGTGGATCCTGCTCTATTTAGCCTATACATCAGTCCGTTTGGAGACATCATCAGGCGTCATTGTATTAAACATAATTTTTATGCTGATGATCCGCCACTGTATCTGGATTTTGATCCTTCTCATCCCTCTTCTGTTGATCTGGCTTTGAATAGGCTTAGGTTATGTATCAAGGATATTAAGATTTGGATGGCTAAAAATAAGCTTAAACTTAATAATAACAAAACTGAATTCATTGTTTGTGCTTCCAAGAGGCACTTAGAGCTTGATCACGTTAGACAGGCTTCACTTGAAGAACTTAACATTCTACCCACTAATTCGGTCCATAATCTTGGTGTCACATTTGATACCACGCTGTCACTGTTTAATCAAGTTCAGTCAATTTGTAAATCGACCAAGTATCATATACGTAACTTATGGAGGATTCGCAAATTTATCGACTGTGACACCTGTCATGCAGCATTTCGTGCACTTGTTTTATATAGAATTGATTACTGCAATTCATTGTACTCTGAGCTGACTGTAACAGATTCTCTAAAATTACAGAAGTTGCAGAATTCTGCTGCACGTCTTATTTTTAACATCCGATCATCTCGTCTCACACATCACATCTTCTTCGTGAACTTCACTGGCTGCATTTTAGGCAAAGGGTTTTTTTTTTAAATTAATGGTCCTTGCTTTCAAGCTGTCTGGCCTATGCCCACAATATATCTCTGACTTTTTACTTGTACGTAAAAAGCAAATTCGTACCAGATCAGCTTTGATTGTTAATTTCCATCAACCTATCTTTACCAAGCGTATTGGTAACAAATCTTTTCCGTGCGAGGCGCCACTCATCTGGAATAACCTTCCAGTGCACATTCGATCTTCACCATCTGTGGCTGTCTTTAAGTCTAACTTAAATACTCACCTCTTTAAATAATTATCCCATTTTTATTCGTATTTTATTTATTGTTGCATTATTTATTTATGATTCCAAAGTTTGCCACTACTTCTTTTAATTTGTTTACTTGTTCTGTGCTTGGGTTAGGCAATGATAACGGTTGCTTGTGGGTTGTGAGGTGCCTAAATATGTGGGATGCAGTGCTTCATATCTGCAAAGAATGGCGCTTTACAAATGTTCTGATTGGATTAGATTGGATGTCCTAATATCTGTCTCTTATACACATCTAGATGTGTATAAGAGACAGGTACAGCACTTATCAAACCTCGCTGCAGTTTGCCTTTGGGTAGAATTTTACAGGTTGAACCAAGTGCTGATGGAAGAGTTCGAAAAGTGTCCGTAGAGATTGCAGATGCTAAGACGGTATTGCGTCCAATTTCTGAACTTATACTATTGGTACCCGCTAAGAAGATCTAATCACCTCATATGAACTTTTTTGATTGTTCTGATAGTTAAAATTACACTGTACTGCATATTGTATTGTACATTAATTAATTTGGTGTTGTAAACCTTTTAAACTTACTGCAAATTGAATTTTGATGATGTCGTCCATCAGGGTGGGGGAGTGTGCGGTTTAAACCTGGGTATAATTTTTTTGAATTGCGCCCTCTCTCGGGG